AACATTGGCTTCAAGAGATTCTTTAGTTTTCCCCCAACAATTTTCCAATCTAGATAATTTTCTTTGTATAGATTAAACATTCACTATTACAATATAACAAAAATGATATGCTATTCAAGATTTGGCTTGCCGTGAATATTCATGCTTGAGTGTTGCATTGTGCTATCTCACTCATTGTTCATATGTAATTTTCTTTCAAAAAAATTTTGAGGGCCATTCGACATCCTTGTTACACCTTTTTCATTGTTTTCTTGTCAGAAAATAAGAAGCAGTGTGGATAGCTGGTCAATGGCTGATCTCTCTCCAGAGAAATCTCTGATGTAGAAGCTGATTGCTATTGGTGCTTCTCAAAACTCCTTGATGGCATGCAAGATCATTACACCTTTTCTCAACCAGGAACCAAAGACTTGTGTTTAGGCTGAAAGAATTGGTTAGATGCATTGATGGTAAATGGGTCTTTTATTTTTTTTTTTGTTTTTTCCACCTTTTATCAATATTCATTCTTGACAAACTTTTGACTTTTTTCTTGGAATCCAAAATTTTTTAGTATCATTCTCAAAGCTCTTTTCTGAAGTAATTAATAGTGATGGCAAGTTTCTCGAACACAAGTTCTGCATGAACATCTTCAGGGCTCTACTTATTCTCACTATATTGAGGGAACAAGTTAATCGACTGATGATGCTGGTTTGAATTTTGCTTTTCTGACAACAATTTATCCTAGCTGGGTGCACAGTCCAGGCCTATGATTTTCTGTCGCTTGGGCATGGGGGGAATTTAGGGGAAATTTGCTTCTCCTAGCAGCACTTACTGATTGCTATTTGAGCAAGCTGATGTTTCATGGTACTTCTAATTTTGAATAATTAAGGGGACGTATCCCTCACTGGAAGATTATTTGATTTTATGTTGTCTAAAACAACTGCGACTTTCTCATAACCCATAGAAAGTATTTGAAGTATATTCTTTAACATGACCACAAACAATATTAAAAAATATTTGAAATGATTTCCCAATATTGCAATAATTTGACCTATTTAGCCCTAAGAGATATCCCGGTGCAACACATGGCTTTGTTCGTACAAGCCTCTCTTGTAGTCCTTTGGCTCAGGTACTAATTCTTGATTCATTTTAGCTTCAGTAATGTCCAAGACTGGGCTTGAACCCAGCTCCCTCCATGTAAAAGCTGAATGACTACAAATAGGCTAAATTCCCAGGTCTGGTTCTTGATGTTTTTAGTTTCATATCATGATGAACAATCTGCTAGTCTTTCTATGAGAATATTTGTAAGTACTTATATTTGCTAGTCTTTCTATTGATGTTTTCATTGAGTTTATTGAAGTACTTTATTGAGGTACAACTAGGATGGAAAATTTTATATCTTTGAAAAGTACTTTTGTTTTATTTTTAAACTACCCATTTGACATCTGATTTGTCAAAATGCCATATTACCTCTTTTTCTGATAGAAAATATAAAATGCCACGTGACTTTATGCATGTCAGTTCTATTCATAACTCATCTTTGCTTTTGCTTTTTTGTTTTATTTTGAACTGGTTGATCACTATGTTTTTCTATATTGGTCTGGAGCCTGTTTCAAAACATATGGATGAGCAAGGGCTTGAATTTCTTCAGTTTGCTTTTCGCTGGTTTAATTGTCTTTTGATTTGTGAGGTTTAGATCTATACTCTGGAAGTCCCTGTACAATGTTTTGTCATCCACAATTTTCAATTTTAAGGTTAGAAACTGATTATATGTTTTGCTCTATTAGATTCCTTTCCATTGCGTTACACGTCTATGGGACACTTATCTTGCCGAAGGAGATGCATTGCCAGATTTCCTCGTGTACATCTTTGTTAGTTTTCTTCTAACGGTAAGAGACATCCTCATTTCCGTAGCACTTTGATACTAAGTATTAAGTTGTTTGGGTTGATATTCTTTCATGCTTAAATAGAATGAAATGAACCATGTTCGACGCTTTTCTTTTTCAATAAATTGAATGCTACTTGTCATAAAACTTTGTAAGAGTTGTCAATTTATGTTCCTTAAAATCCTATGCTTGTTCCTGCTCTATATTTCTTTCCCTAACAAATATTTTTAAGTAGGGAATCTGAGAAAGGATTTACTTTTCTTTCTCTTTTTGTCCTTACAAATAATTAGGTTCTAGATAAGCAGAATCTTTATTTAAAAGAAAACCAAACATGAAAAGTTCCACCCAAAAGAGAATACAAAAGGCATTAACCGCGAAACAGTTCCTCTTTTCATGTTTTTCTTTTCAATGGTCAGATAAAATTCAGAAGCTTGATTTCCAAGAAATTGTGATATTCTTGCAACACCTTCTGACTCAAAACTGGACTCACAAGGAACGCGAAGTGGTGCTTTCAAGAGCTTATATGTGGTACAATATGTTTAACAACTCTCCCAGCCACTTAGCCAGCTGAGGGGCAAAGTGACCTATTCTTAATCAAATGCCCGAAATAGTGTACTTTTTTCTCGAGTTTTGTGGAGTAATCATTTTTTATTTACTTTCAATGCCTCAACATCTATGGGTATATGTTTTATCTTATCATCTGTATTGTGGTTGTAATATTTGTAATTTTAAGCATATATTTCTTTGTACATTTATCTTTTGAGTCATTGACAGGAGGAAAGAGAATTTTTTTTGAGTTCTTCGATGGAGTGAGAAAACATTTTGTCCCATGGAGTTCTATACAAAAAATTCTTTCCGCACTTCTCGATCTATTTGTGTTTGCTCAGATGAGACTCTTTTTTAACATAAATTTATTAAAAAACTCCTGTTATGCTGCATCTGCTGCTTATATATATATATATATATATATTGTAGTAATTAGATTTATTTAACCTTGGAGGGATATAGAAGAGTACTTCCCCAACCCCCCACCCACCCCCCCCATGTATAAGCCTTATCTCTCTCTGTCTCTACACGCACACATATATATATATCCTTTTTGTGTTGTAAAGTTTAATTACATCTTCTTCTCGAGTGTTGATGCAGGTCTGAAAATTTCATTCTGTTAACTCGGCTGGAAAATTTTACCTCAGCATTCTGATTAGTTAGCTTGTTGATTCCATAATAGATAGTGAGATTGAAGCTGAAAGTGATTGGGGAGATCGAATCTGTACATGAACTGAATTTGATTTATGTGCGTGTCATTTGAATTTTTATAGAAGTGCAAATTCAAAGTCAAAATGTTTATTTAATTTTCAATCTAAACCAAAAGTTTTGAAGATCATGAACCAGGCCAACCATTTGTTTTTCAATCGATACCCTTTATGGATAATTTTAACACAAGTTTTAATCTTAAAATTTTTTAGAACACACTCATAAATACAATCATACATATTTGCAAATTAATAGATTGTTGAGGTAATATGTTATTTTATTTTCTGGAAATAAGTACAATTCAAACATAATTTCTTGAATGGTATAATATTAATGGTTAATTAAAGAAACTATCTTAATTAATCCTTAAATTGATAACATCATGTCATGCTGTTTATATATATTAGGATTGAGTGGTAATTACAATGCAAAGCATTTTCCAATTCTTATAATAGAATTTTCAAGATAAGTAATCTCATGAATTTACAGAGGGCAAACAAATTAATGGGCCTCTAAGAACAACTTCATCTGATTAATTTTGTGCCCTGCTTGGCAAAGGGGGATTCTATATACGTACAGAGAGCAAACAAATGTCTTGTTGATTCAGGTAACACCTGTCAACTCTGTAATCATCTAATCCAACACGTTACACCAGCGGCATGCAACTAAAGCTTGGAAAAATCAAATCCATGTTTATCTCTCTCAAGTCCCAGCCCAAGTTACCCTTCAGATCTCTCATGGCGGACGACTATGAAGAAGAAGAAGAAGAAGAAGAAAAGTTTCTGGTGCTACCAAAACCGTCCGATTGGCTAATAAAAATGATTTGTTTTCAATCAGATCTCCTTCACAACTGCCTACTCTCTCTCCTCTCCCCCATCTTCTTCCTTCTCTCTCTTGCATGGGCATCTTACCGGGAGGCAGAGGAGACGACAAACAGTCTGAAAATGGCGGTTTACAGAGCACCCAGTAAGCTGACACGTACCAGCAGCATGGTTTTGAAGAAAATAGTATATGGGTGTGTTGGGGCAGTGAAGATGTGTAGTGTATTGGTGGGCTTGGTGGTTTTGGCAACAATGGTGGGTGTAGGGTTGGTTAGGGTTTTGCTGGTTCAAGAACCTGTGTTTGTGAGAGATAAAGTTTGGTTTAATTATGGAGAAGCTAATCCAATGGCTGTTTTCTCTTTCAGTCATGATTTATATGGGAAGAGATCAATTAATGGGGTACCTGTTGGACATACCATTCATGTTTCTATGCTGCTTTTGATGCCGGAATCTGATTTTAACAGACAGGTTGGAATGTTTCAGGTACTAATTATTCACTACATTTGAATGAATTGCCACTCTTTTTATCTTGTAAGTAATAATAGATTCTACTAATTATTCTTTTAATTCCAAGTTATTACGTTTCAAAATTTTATGGCAAATAGCATCTGGAGTAGAAATACCCACTAACATTTCATATAAGAGGAAATTGAAGTATATGAATCATAAGATAGTATCAGAGTTAGAAGGAGTCCATTGGAATCTTATATTTTCTTTAGTTTATTATGGAATCTCTAAGTCATGAATTGTAAAGCTTGTGTCTTGACAAATCAGGAGTAGATAGGTGTGAGTAAGCCATTGTTTGTATATGTTATTTTCTTTATAAATAGAAGTTTTTTATAATTCTAAAAATTAAATCAACAGCTGGAAATACAGTTTTTACTAAGTTAATATTATTAATCTCTATAAGGGTTGTATGTTTTGTCATTTTCATTATTATTTAAGATAGGATTAGAACCAGTGAAGAATCTCATTTTCATCATTATTACTCATTTTTTCTGTTCACCCTTAAGCTTTGTAAATGGTACAAGGCTCGTATATTCTTTTGTTTGCTTCTGAACCTTGTTTACTGGACTCTGTACTTTCTTTGTACTCAATACATACACATATTGTATTTCTTATTATTGGTGAAAAGCTGAAGAACATTTATAACAATCGGTCCAATCTATTATTTAATAGTTTTTTGTATTGAACCAGGTGAATGCAGAGATACTATCAAGCAAAGGAGATGTGCTAGCAAAGTCTAGCCAACCATGTATGCTTAAATTTCGAAGCTTGCCAATCCGACTCACAAGAACCTTTTTCATGGGCATACCTCTTCTACTAGGGTTTTCGAGCGAAACCCAGTTGACTACACTTCATATTTTGAGGCATAAAGAAGGGAAACTAAGAACAAATGCTGTTAGAGTAACAATGGTTCCAAGAGCTGGAACTTCATCTCTACCGCAATTATATGAAGCACAAATCATCATCAATTCTCAGTTACCTTGGACAAGACAATTACTCCATAACTGGAAATGGACACTATATGTCTGGACATCTCTATATATCTACATTATTTTTCTACTTCTTTACCTTTTCTTTTGTAAACCATTCTCGTCACCTCAGCAAGTCATAACGTCCGAGGAATCCAAGTCTATACGCAATAGGGTTAGAGACGAAAGTGAGATTTCGGAGTTTATAAGAAAATGGAGAGGAACCAAAATGAATTATGAGCGAAAAAGTAGTGTCCCTGATCAATCTCTTGCTTCATCAGCAGCATCAAGCATGGTGGTTGAAGAAGTAGCAGACAGCTCTGAATCGGTATGTTTGTAGATGGATAACTTGTTCTAATTCCAGTCATTTTGTATGTCTGGCAAAGTGGGGTTCTAACGTATGCAGATTACATTGTTCTACCATATTAGATGTTTTATATAATTAAAAGGGAAATTATATAAGGTTAATGTGATGAAATTTGAGTAACAAAACAACTATATATAAGAGATTAAGCTTATGATATTGGGTTTATCTCTATAGATGAGACTAGAGGATGTACATTAATATATATAATTGTATAGCTGAATGGTACTGTAATTTGCGTGAGAATTTTTTTTTTTCCTGGTTGCTTATATGGGTACAACAGATTTGGCTGAGTGTTTGTTTCTAGATTAAGAAGAAGGGTTTAGTTTGGGGAATAATTTTTCTAAAACTTATTGTTAATTCTCAAATTAACTCAACTGCCATTTTTCCATAAATTTCACTACTTACAAACTTTCTTAATCTATTTATAACACATGCAACGAAGGTTACCTTTATAATACACCAATATTCTGTAAGTACACTTAATTATATAACTTCATTGGTGGAAAATGACAAATGATTAATCTTTACAGAAGTAAAAAATAAGTAAGTAAATAAAATTAAATAATTCGTCTATTGTATCTAATAGTCAAAACTCAAGTTAAAAGATTGTAGTAAAACAAGTTGCAAAATTTTCTTTTAAAATAAATCAACCCACAACCATTAAAAAAAATACAAAAACATAATTTCCGAAGAAAACATTGGCCTTACAGCTATATATATATATATATATATATATATATATATATACATGCAACAAAGTGTTTTTATAGAATTTATTTTAAAATTATAATTATTCTTTATTTTAAATTTCATCTAAGATCACTTTTTCAGAAGATTTCGAGAAAATATATTATTTACAATTATTAATATTTCCTCCTTTTAACTCATCAAAAATCTAAATTTAGTTCAACTTTCAAGCTCACAAGATCTCACCATTTTGTACTCAAATACAGAACTCTGCAAATTTTTTTATTCCATCAACTTCAAAATTTGGAATTCACTTTCCCAATACAAAAATTTATGTAACTTTCCTTCTATCTTTTCCTATTTTCTTTGTTGTTGAATTCAATTTGCTACAGCCTGCAGGGACAAAAGAGACTGGAAGTGATTGAAAACTTTAATTCAACTTTTGGTACCGTTGCTGCCGGAGGACCAGAAGGAACTTTCATTTTCAGCCATTTAGATAAATGACACTGT